CCCCCCCAGTGCCTTTCAAATGTTCAAGTTGAGAGACATGTCACAAGATATCTGGACAATGCCAGACCGCCCAGGATAGAAAAATAATAGTTGAGCAATAAGCATTAAGCTTTCAAAAGTCATCATTTGCCTTTTCTGCAGAATGTGCTGGTTAAGAGCATTTTCCCTGCTTGTCACTCAAAGGAAAACGTGTGGGGAGAGGGAAATGTTTTGATCTGCAGGAAAATTACACAAATCTCTCTCATGTGATAAATTATGATGCATCTTTTCCAAAGCCCACAGCCAGCTGGAGAAGTGTTTTTCCCCTAGTCATGCCAAGTGTGGTATCTGATTATATAAATCGCATCAGTTCCCATCCCCTGCAATGTTTGTTGATGTTTAGGCTTAAAGGGCAAGGAATGTTTCTATCCTTACGAAGTTCTCTCACATCTCCCTCAAGACCATATGTCACAACCACACGACTGAACAAGGTAAGCCTTTTTAAAATTATTTTTAATTTATTTACTACACGGGTAGCCTGCAGAGTAATTCCATTCAAAATTGCTGATAGAAGCAAAAACACTGCTTCTTTGCTGCTGCACTCTAGGTGAAGGAAGGGGAGAGAGCTTGCCTTCCAGGAAAGCAGCAGAGTGTGACCAGCTGGAAAACGTTTCTGTAGAGCAGGACGGGACAAAGCCACCGACACCAGCAAGCCTGCAGAACAGACACGGTCCTGATAAAGCAGAGGCAGATCCAAAAGTATCAAGCACAAGACTTTTCTGGCACCCCAGGGGAGCCTGGGCAACCTCCGAAGTCTCTGAGAGTTACAGAGCTAGAAGACAGGATCTCCCCCCATTCTTGCAAGGCCACTGTGGCAGGAGGGAAGGACTTTTTTTTCCTCCTACCTTACGACTTCAGTTCAATCTCACAGCCCTTATCCATGCTGAATGGCACTTCGGCAAACAGCCACATCCACGAGGACTCGGAACAGGATGTGATTTCAACAGAACCACTGGCAAGAGCAAGCGCTCCCCAGCAGGAGGTCAGGTCAGAGCATCATGGAAATGTGGGATAAAATCTTGGCTTGGATGAAGCTATTGACCTCCAAAGTGGTCATATTTCAATCAGCCCCATGACAAAGATACTACAATGTTTCAAACTAACATTAGCCAAAAAGTAATGAAGCTGGTTGCAATTTTCCTGATGACTCTTCTTTTGGTTTTGACAAATCAGTGGTTTTAAAAAACTGCTCACTGAAGGTCGGTTTCAACACAAAACCGTTGCTAACCTTTTGAAATACGTTTTGAAGCTATGACTGTATCCTGTTGCAGGACAGTTCTGCTGCAACCACCTTGGGTTTAAGTGAAAGACAACATTATGTTTGAAATTCTAGCGGAGGTTAACACAGAGATGAACAACATACTTTTAAACTTAAAGGGCTTGCGCTGAGGCTTTGGAGGAGTATTGGCACAGAGAATAAAAGGTATGGTTATGTCATACTTTCATTCATGAAAACTGACATTTGGTACTTTGGTCACATTAAGAGGAAGGTTTCTCTTCCCACCTTTCTCTCCCCACCCCAGCTCAAATTTTTGTGGGACATGAAAACACCATCATCATCCCTCCCACATGCTGAAAACTATTCTGGTTTTTTGCCTTTTCTGTTTCAGAAAACACAAAGAAAAAAGAGTTATCAAAAACTTGCACTGCGTGATACAGTTCAAACTGTTTATGACAGGCAGCTTAATACAGAGCATTTACTTCTGCTAAGTAGGCTGTTAACGGAAGATACCAAATTTCCAGTGAGGAAACTGAGTAAGCACAAATGCACTAGTGAAATGGTAATAGAGGCCAACATTTTAATAAATACATTTTCATATCTATGTGTCACTGGATGAAAAGATGTTATGAAAAACTATCATCAGATGAAGCACGTATGCAAGTTTTCTTAACTGACTATGACAGGCGCACAAGATCTGGCAAATTCAGCACGAGGACATGTGGTGCCAAGCTATGCTTTTAAGTGCTTGCATACAATTTCATGCAGTAATAAAACATGCTATTGGTATCATAAGCAATGCTTACAGCCGGGTATTTATTTTTATGGTTCATAATATCACAGTTTTGCAAGCACTTCTCCTCTAAATATTTGCAAATAAACCATTGTCACAGAACAAGCTAAGATTATGAAGTCTTGTACATACTATTTCCATAATAGCTAACTATAGTTCTCAGAGTTTCTGCCTAAGAGGAAAATGTTACGTTCATGACCAAAGTCAAATTTAAAAAGGCTGATTCTGGTCCTTGGAGTATCATGGCTAAAAATCCTCCAGGCTTCATTTACCTCAATCTGATATTCATCTACTACAGCAGGCTTTTATGCAATTATATTACTTTAGCCACATGACCCTCCACAGTTAATAAATCCTGTTCTGTAGTGTGCAAGAGACTGTCTGCAGAGAACAGGGATAAAGACTGGATATGCAACTGCCATCCATCACAAAGAACGCTAGCCTATTTGGGATCAGCCCGACTACTGCAAATGGACTGGGTTAAGCTAAAAATAGAACGTGATGCTCTAAAAAGGGTATCTTGCCTATATGGAGTTAGTCTTTCTTGTTATGCCAGTTTGTGGCTCCATTTCTTGAAGGTTCCTGAGCAGTTTAATTATAAATATCCTCTTCAAAGTTTCACCACTGGCTTATTTTCATCACTTAACAAACCCCTGAAACACATTCTCTATTTTCATATGTAAGCAAGGAGCTTAAAGATAAGTCTTTTTCCTGCTACAGAGGTGGCGAACAGCCAAGTAGCTGTGCAAGAGTCAGAGTGGGTTCAGCCAGGTTAATTAAACTTGTCCCGGTTCTTCTGGTCATGCTGCACGTAGGCTGGCTTCACACCTCCCCAGTGCTCCCAGTAACAGGAAGGAGGGGCAGGGAGACGCAAGCCAGTTATACACAGGATCAGACTTGATTCTGCCCTAGCAGGGGTATAAGCACATTCGCAGAACACGGAGCCTGAGCAATCAGTCCTGGCTGGCTCTGCACAGAAATCAGTTCAAATGTCTGCATGTTCATGGTATACTTAATCCCTAAGGACACTTGAGAGCTGACCATGCGTAAGAATGTGTAAAAACAACAGCATCAACAACAAAGCTCACAATTTTCTGGTACTGGCAGTTCAAAACAGATCATTAATGATATCTGAACGCACCACTTTGTGCCAATGACTCTCTGCCTCACTATTTCACTTAAAGAAAGTCACAGTTGAACTTACAGTACATTTTACATGATATCCCAGCTATAAGAATACGACCATTCTGGAACACAACTTCCGATCGTTTGACAACGAAGTGTCTACACGTTTCTCTAGGCAGACTTCCTAAAAAGAAGTCTGTCAATCTAGGTGTGCTTCTGAGTCTCAGAAATACTTCAGCTTACCTCCTGGATGTGTTGCTCCAAATGACTGATCAATTTGTTCTATGGTTGGAGCAATTGCCTGAGAGTTAAAATGGACACCACTGAAAAAGAAAACAAAATGAACCTGTCTTAAGAATATTGAATGGATGCTACAAATGTTTACTAATGGCACATTTAAATTGGAAGAAGTCTCCAAGACTGAAGGAAGGAGTAACCTGGTAATTTAACCAAGTGCTGTGTTCAAGAAAGGATAATTATCTACATTCTTTTTTGACAGTTATTTTGTTTTTTTAACAAGAGTGATTGAAAAAATGAATTCAGGATTAAAAAAAAAGGCAAGAAACCAATCACTAATCAAGAAGAAATCACGGGAGGTCTTAAATCACTTACCAATATTTTAACTTCACCTTAGTCAAGTCATAAACTTCAATCACCTGAAACATGGGAAACAGAAACATTACCACACTTCACACATTTGCGAATCATTACAGAGGCAAATTCTCATCAAAAGGCAAGACTAGCTAGTGCTGCTCGCTCCCCTCCTTAACAGAACTCTGCCAGGATAAATCACATTGACAGAGACAAAACTCCGAAAACTGACTCAGGAACCACTGAAACAAGTACTGAAGAACAGCTACGGGTTCAGTACAGTACCTCCAGATCCCGTGTAAATCAGCACTGACCTTGCAGAAAGTAGTCTTTTCACTAATACATCAGCATCTTGATTTCTGCAAAGATTACTCTTAAGCAAGCTCAAAGGAAAGTAATAGCAAAGGTCAGCGAATTAGGGAATCCTCTAAGAAACGTCAAACAGTAGGCTGTTCCTTGGGTTGCTCTTATTACCCTGAAGAATACCTGTGCAGGGCAGTAAGTCCTAGCACTGACTGCACTGTTCTAACTTTCCAACTCCTTCTAAAGTAAAAGATGAACACAGCAAGACTAGTTCTGATATTTATTAAATATTTCAGACCTTACTGGATATTCCAAGGAGCTCCCCTCTCTGCAGATAATATTAGGTATGGATCCTTTCTTCTGAAGACATTACTGCAAACGTGCGTCTGAGATTGATTTCATATGATTTTTATGTGACTATTACTGGATCTTGAGACTAGACTGGGCTTTAAGCAGGCCATTTTTGGGGAGCAACCATGGTCAAATGAACATGCTCTATGTCGCACCTTCATCATCAATACTTTAAAACAAAGCAAAAAGGAAAAAGTACTGCAGAGCACATCATAACTGCTGTAAAGAAAAGGTAAATCACTGGCAGATTTAGAAAGGACTCGCTCTTCAGCTAGAGAATAAAGCAGAATTCCCCAGGGAGCTTGCTGCCAAATGTGGCTTTAAAGCCTAAAAATATCACCAGCTAAGAAGGAAGTCTTGGTTTTGGGAGATGCCTGGCAAATAACCCTAAATAAAACAACTTGCAATGCTTAAACCACTATAGAAAAAACTAAAAAAACCCCAAAACAAAAAAATCATCAACATTTAATGGTACACTGTTGACTCAAAAAGTTGGAAGAGTTCTCTGAAGCACTTTGTTTGCTCGGGAAGCCCGCACATTTCAGGATAAAAGTAAGAAATGAACATTCTGGCAGAACCAACATGAAGAAAAGCAAACAAATTTTTCTTCTTAATAAATATACTTTGAATTAAACTTCTTGGAAAAAACTGGTTATCCAGTATTTTAATTCAAATGCAGTTTGACATGTCCAGGTCTCCTTTACTGCACAGCTTGTTAATAACAAAGGCTACTTTTATGAAAAGCTAGGAATGATTTTACCTTTTTTAGTGATCTCGCACATCATCTTCCCCCCCCAGAAAACGTTTCTGAGAATAGAGGAAACCACCCCACACACAGATCTAGTTTTGCAGCAACTACCGGAGAGCATCGGGCACGCTCCTGAAGTGCTGCTGAAACACACTGCGGTGGCGGAAGACAAAAGGACGAGTCGAACAACAAGGAGCCGTGCATGAGGAATAGCACGTTGCGCAAATGAGGTCCCAAGCGAGAGAAACACCCTGACAGCAGCCAACAGGCACCGATTTGCCACCGGCTCTCTTCCCACGATTCAGACAGATCTATTCATGTCAACGTTTCCTTTTACTAACAGCAGAGGAAGAAACAAGCGCAACTTCACAAAATGTAAAGGTAGTCAAAAGATCTCATAAAAGTCACGAAAGACACATATTGAAGAACCACTGCAACAGGCCATAGCACTAGAAAAGGATTTTTTTTTTTTTTAAACTACAGAAGCTACACTGACAAAAGGATTAATGTGATTCTGTCTGTGTGCAGAGGAACAAAAACTGAGAAGACCAAGGACTATTCAGTGATGGGTTTACTACACAGCCAGAAGGCAGCTGGTTTAAATGAGTAAAACCTCATGTTTTGTCACACTCACTGTTTTGCTAATTACTACTGAGTAAGACTCAAAAATGTTCAGGTATCTACTAACCAGCAATAACAGACCAACGCTGGGAAATCTAATTCTTTCTCCAGCTCAGAGCGAGCGCGTGCGAGAGACCTTGTTGCTAAAATTCATAGCAATGTTTTCAGAACCTGGTCCTGGATCTACTCTTTCACGTTAGCTCACGTTAGTAACACCTCCTGCGGTGCTCTGGCTACTGAAGGTGAGTAGAGAGACTATGCAAAAGCCTTCCTCCCCTCCCTGAAAAAAGGGAGGAAACATTTTAGGAATATTGCTATGGCTTTATTCCTGCACCAGCTTCTTGGGGTCTGACAAGACTTCCCATTTTAGTAGCCTGTATTTCAATCTCTTTCACAACCAAATCTAATAGCAAGTGTGTATTGAAAAGAACCGACACCACACAAAGAAAAAAGGCATCCTGATTTTTCCAGTTTTGCTGCTGCTGAGCAACACTGAAAACAGAGTCATACCATCTTAAAAATAGGCATTATTTATTCTACACCTACCCTATTCTTTAACAAGTCCTGTTGCTCACTTCTGAGCTGATCCCACAGAACTTCTTCTATAAAGCTTTCTGAACACAAGTATAAGTTTTCATAGCATTGTATGGATTTACACAGCTTTACTCTTCATAGTTAAAACAAACAAACAAATGGTATCACTAGACCACTGAACCACGACATACCAGAAGAGATTGTTTTGGGGGGAGTTTTTTGGGTTTTGCTTTTTTTTTTTTTGAAACAAGCCTAAAAATACATACCAGCAAAGTTTGGTTTTTCTATTTTTTCTTTAAAACAAATTTTAAAACACATTGTGGAGAAAAGTGAGAAGAACAGCTCTTGCATAGTTCTTACAACACTGGGTGTTGAAATGACAAAGTCAGACCCTCAAAACCTGGAGATGAAGAGACATGGCATACGCTAGGTACAGCACTTCAAAAACACTACAAGATTGTGACATTCCAAAAAACGTCAGTAAGCAAGCCATACACTTGAAGTGATTATGTCAGTTTTGAGTTCAGTCTCCTTAAGAATTAAATCTATTTTGGAAAGATTTTGTACCGCAGGTGTAGCTTACACTGATAAAGATCCATCTGACAGAATTTTCAAGATACTCTCTTAAAAATTGTAAATTCACATAAGCAATCTGAATAATTAAGTTCTAAATCTTGACAAAAATAAGAATCCCATTATTACAGAATGACTTCATGAACAGAAACTACCATAAGGCAATTACAAACTGAACTCTGGCAAAAAAGTGCTGTTGTTCCCCATCTGAGCTCAATTTGAACTGAAAATTGTTCTTCAAAACATGTATTTTTATAGTTAATATAAAAGATTTTGAAAAAGGAAAATACAAACATACCATGGTGTTACAGGTTACTACTAGAGAAATAAGTACTTCCAACAACTACTAATTTGGGTTGGTATGCAACAGTTTTATATATAAAGTATATGAAGAGCTCAAGTTTTAGCCGACAGCACACCACTACACTCTTACAGTCATTTTGGGGATAAAGTACTAGGCTGACATTTTGGAGAGTGACATTTTGCTGCTCATTGGAGACATGACTAAGGGGAACAAGGCTCCACCTACCCCTGTTCCAAAGCTTGGAAGTACGGATGCAAGCACCATATTCCAGACTTACCTAAAGGGTAAGCATTCCATTTTTTAGCATCACATTTAACCCCACACTTCTGCTTTCAAATGTTAAATAGCACAGCAGTTAGAGCAGTACACTCTCACCCAATTAGCCAAATCAACACCTGGGCACTTTGTCACAGAGGAATTTAATGCACACCAGGTGAGAACCACACTGACAATTGTTCAGCACAGCTGGTCCTGCCAAAAGGACCACCCTGAATAACTAAGAAGTTACATACAGATATTTTAAATGTTTCAGTTAAGAAGGCTTTTCAAAATTTTGTACTGATCGAGTCATATCTCTACAGTCCAACCGTCGCTCATTTTGTATGGACGAAACATACCACTTTCATAAGATTTTTTTGCGAATGTAAATACCATGGGAAGTTAGTGACCAGCCTGCCCTTTATTTTGCACCTTAACTACACAAAGCATCCTAGAGAGAGGCAAATCAACACTTGGTCACCTAAAAGCACAGAAGCAGAATTGCGGGGCTGAGAACTTTGATCGCAAGAATAAAAACTCATCCAGAACAAACTGAAGTCAGCGCAGGAGGCAGCTGCTCACAACAGGCCTGAATGTGGCTTTCTGGGAGAAGTCATGCACTCACAGCCGCACAAGTACTCTGTGAACCTAACTCAACTGAAAACTAAGAATAGGAGGAAGCAAGTTTACTTTCAAAGATAAAACGGCAGCGTTTGATAGATAAAACGGTTTATCTATTCAAAGATAAACAGATAAAGGAACAACCTGGGCAGAAAACAACACTGTCCGGTTTGCATTAACCGACGATCTGATTTCAGATCCTAGGCTTAGCTTTAGTAATGGCCTTTCGCAGCTTCTGCTGCAACTTGAGACAAGATGGGCAAGTGAGACCACACTGGACCATCATACTCCTATGGCACTCTTACACTCCCCAGTACAATGTTGAAGTGTCTTAATCCTATAAACGAAGGTTTAACCCCCAAACCAAAGAAATGCAATTCATTATCACAAGAGAGCACTATATATGGCAAATTACACGTCTAAAAGAACCACAGACTTACGCTCTGTTAAGTGTCAATATATCCTAGGGTTTTGGTTTGCATTGTTTTGTTTGCAGGAAGGGTGTTTCATTACCTTAAGTCTCTGATTGAAAGCATCAAACAGCAGTTTGATTCCATCCTGAGTCAGGTTAAGGATGAGGTCATGGCTAAGAGGTGACTGTAAAACAGAAAAAGCTGTTAGGCTTTTAATTTCAAGGCTTCTTTGTTAAGATATATATCATCGTACAAGTATAAATTGGTTACTTCGGAAAAACAAAACTGCCTCAGAAAACAATCACTTGGTTCATCGAGTAAGCATAACGAAAATACATTTGGCCAAACCTCTCAACCCCTTCAGTTTCCTTCTGAAAAGAAACAGAAGTGCCTGTGTAAGATCCGCACCCTGCAAGCACTCCCAAAAGGGTAGCTGTCCACTACTTTAAGTCGGGGCAGGGGAGAAACACCTTGAAAATTAACGTTCCAAGTTTAGCATCAGAGACATCATGCAGGGACAGCCTGTTGCATTCTTGGCGCACAAAAATAATAGCCCATCTCACCAAGTCTCGCGTCAGAACCAAGCATACATTTGACAAAAAGGTGGTGAGATGGCTTTCCACTTCAAATATCAAAGAGTGTCACCGTCTTTTTCAGGCCTCAGAAGGAAGGCTTCAGACTTATGTTGTGAATTTAGGTTTCCTTAGTTACTGTGAATCATAACAACGAAAGGCTTAATTTGCAGTCTGCTGGAGTCAATAGGAGACATTCCACTGGCTTCACTGGTGTCTGTATAGGCTCTACACCATCTCGGTCTGCTGCGACACTGTGGCAGCTGCTCAACTGCTGCACCGGTACCATCCCCGCATACACAGGCAGTTGGCCCCAGTTCAGCTATTTGATCGTGTACCATCCAAAGCGCATTCGCTTCAAAAAGCTCTACCCTCCACAACTGTCTCCTCAGAGGAGAAAAAAGGCTGAACGACAGGCAGGCAGCAATATTCATGCCCTAGAACTGCACCAAGCAGCTATGTAGCAAAAGACAGAATGGGGATGGGACATCTGGGGCATATCCAGGCTTCTAATGCGGGCAGCCACAGCATACAGCCCTTTTTATGAATTAAGCATAAGCTATCTTAAAACCTGTTACTCCCCGCTTTGCTCTACTGGGAGAAGGTCTATGTTTTGACTGTCAGAAGTCTAATTTTCATCCTAAATTTTCTCACCTCTTTATTCTCACATCAGCACTGTCTTCTAGCCTGGATATTTTTTGTGCATTCTCACATGCATCTCCCACCCCTTCCCAATACCATGTATTTAAGTAATCAGATCCTAGACTTCACACCGCTAGGTCAAGGCAAGCCACAGGGCTTTCAATCCCCCGTGATGCAGATTTCCCACTCCTCTCGATCACTCCAGTAACTTTTCCTGATGCGGGTTCAGTTTGAGCTCATCTTTCTTGAACACCGGTGATCTGACATGTAAGCTGTCTTCTAAATGAAGTCTTCACAGCACCTTGCACAATGGCATCAATACTTCACTATTGGCGGCAAACTTTGATGATACTGCGTAGAACTGCAGCAGCACTGCAATATAGCCATGAGCCTGAGATAAAAAGGTCTAATGCTGATCCTGACAGTCTTTTTTTAAATCCCTTATAAATCTAATTTAGAAAGGCTACAGATAGAGCAAAAAACCATGTGTCATGTTGCATTTAAATATACCAGAGTTGTTCTGATATGGGATATGCTCTGCATTTCACTGGTTTCTAAGCAAAATTTTCATAAGGTTATTCCAAAATTAATGAGAGCATTACAAGTACTTTTGAGTGGGTGGAAAAAAAACCCCGCAAACTTGGAGGAAATGCTTGATAATTAGTACAGCAAATAGCTTCTGTTCTATGCTGGCATATTTTCTAATAGAAGAAAAGTTTCAAGGGCACAAACTTCGTTCATGTGACTTAATACACAAACTAGAACCTCAGGTATGAAAGATGATGCCAGGAAGCAACAGGAGAGTCCTTCCTGAAGGAAGCAACTCAGATGTGCAGTTACGCTGCTAATCTACACAAAGCTGCAGGAAGAACTGTTATCACTGAACAATCCCATCGATGCAAATCCAGAGGAAGAGGCTTAGGAAAACATACAAAGGCAATTAAGTACCCCACTTAAACAGACCAGAAAGGAGTTAAAGTTCTCTAGTAACAGAAAAGGGTTCATCAAGCTTTTTTGGCACAGTTTGGGCATCCCATTTATGTCAAGTTAAAAAGAGAGCTGTGGGCAGATCTAATTGCATTTAGTTGTCATATAAATTTTTGAAAGGAAATACTCGCTGCTGGAGTTCCAGGATCAGAATTCAGCGCTTTAGATGCAACAACTTTAAATAACATTTGATCACTGTGCTCAAAGGCATTCTTTTAGAAAGCAAAGAGGAAAGACATGGAGGCTGTTCAGGTATAGTTTAGCTAGATAAAAGTTGTGTGTGGCAAAGTTTATTTAAAGCTTTGAATCTTCTAAGAACTGCAGCAGCAGCAGCTCTTCGTGCTCAGCTGCTCATGAAGTACACAATGTTCTGCACAAGGGTGAGGATATAGCCAGACAGTCAACTGCAGGCCCTGAGTGGCATGTGGAAAAAATTGCACTGAGTCGGAATAACATACAGAAAAAAACAAAAGAAGTCATCAGCAGCACAACTATACCACAAAGTTGAGAACTACTATTTTGTTGGAGTATGCAGATGTTAAAAACATCTTTACATTTATTACAGTTTGGGGAGAAAAAACCTAACACACACACACACCCCTCCCCCCCGAAACAGAATAAAAATTTTGTTTTCATGGTCAAACACAACATAGCTTTCCAAGAGGTGTAAAAAGCCAAGCAGCAGTATAGCTTGCTTTCTAGTACTGGACCACTAATCCTTCTGTGATTCTACAAACCCGAGAGGAACGGGAATCTCATCATTTATCTAAGCAAACCTAGAAATAATTCTGGAATGCATTGTGGTAAGAAAAACTAAAAAACCTCCAAAGCACACAAAAAACAAGGAATGCATTCACTGCCAGACGGATGCTCCCATGCATTAAGTACAAGGAGCTAGATTTTCAATTTGCAATTCAGTCATCATAAAACCCATAAATCTATATAACGTGAAACAAAAAAGGGTAGTTCATTTAATTACGTGAAATATGTATCCAGCAGTAAACACCAGAGTCGAGCTTGTTCCTTAGCCATTCAGCATTCACTGCGAATGCATGAGGCCTCAATTGGTATTTTGATACAAACTGACATTCTAGCAGACTTTGCCTTTTTCCTGATGCAAAGATCTGTAATCTACCACATACGAATATCATCTTCTGAGTAACGTGCGTTTCACATATTACACACGTGGAGAGTCACGATCCTCCTTTGTCCCATCTCCTCTTCCCTTCCACTTCCTTCAAAGTGAAGGTGGGTATGTAACACATTTTATTTGATCTAGCAGAAAGGTTTCACTTCTAGTCCCCTTTTTGATGGAAGTCAAATGTATTAGGAACTTAAGGCTTAGTTACAAAGAACGATTAAAACATCTACAGCTGGTTTAAATTACTGCATCCACTTTCTGCAGGGCAAAATTGCAGATCCAGAGAGAAAGCGTGGAAGCCTTTTCAGGGCATTCATCACCACTGAACCAAACACGAAAGCGTGAAGTAATGAGTGATTCAGTACCTCAAAAATACTGCAACGCTTGACAGTGATAATGTAAAAAAACCCCAGAAATTAAGTTATCCAGCTAATTACAGAACATTTCCCTTCTTAAAGGAAAAACAATACTATGCCACCACCGCATATACAAAACTGATACCTGTTAAATCACTGCACTGTGCTGAGGATTTTTACACTTGACATAAAACTGTTATAAAAGCTACACCTCTGATGTGGTGGTAATAATCCAGTGTAATTCAATTTCAAGTAGCTCCACAATTCATACAATAGGTATGTTAGCATGACACAGTATCAGTATACCCTCTAATGCCTTAACCTGGGGGCACAGTAAGGTGAACGACCCGGCCGGACCATGCGCTACTCACCTGCTCACTGTAGAGAACCTGGACGTTTTTGATAATGCGACAGTGT